TGGATTTATAATGAAAGAATATTATTCCTATTGATTAAAGGTCTGATGAGAAAGTTGAAAGCAAAACCATATGGAGTTAATTCTTGAATTTTTTATTTTAGCAAGTTAGGTGAAAATTTGAAAAAAAAGTAGTGAAATTTTTTAAAGAGTTCAATTAGAACTAAATTATTATATTCGTTCACATAAACACAATTCAAATTATAATTTAAGCTTCTTTTTTTTTCGAGGAAAAAAATGTTGTCGCTTTTTTAGTGTTGTTTTTTGGTTTCTAGAAAATGATAATTTATAATAAATGAAAAATTCTAAAATGGGCGAGGAGGAAGAAATGGAATGATTGATGACCAATAAAACCAACGGACTGCGACGAATGTTATCATCATTCCGCAGAAAAGTTGAAGGAAGTCAGCCTCCGCCACCTCCGCCGCCTCCGCCACCTCCGCCGCCTCCCCCTCACATACTCATAACTCGTCTTCTTCAATCTTCATCACTGTACTCAAATTTCCACCATTACAGACGAACGGAGCTCCTTCTTCCACTGCGTTTTTGTATTTTACATTCTCACTCTCAATTTCCTTTGTGGGTTTCAATCTCTGTTCTCAAATTCACCCTTCTCGAACTCTCCATTTCCATTAAACAAATGGGTGAAAAAGAAAATTAAAAGAAAAATGATGATCTGAGAGCTCGAGGGGCATGATTCTTTTCGATTCTGAAAAGCGAGTCGCTCCCCTTTTTATAAGATTCTTTAGCCATTTGTGAAAGGAGATTCTTGATTCCTTCGTAATGATTCCGATTTAAACGCCCCCTTTCAAAATCGCTCTAAAAAGCCTCAATGTCTCTTGCCCTTTCCCCTTTCTCTTGACTTCAAAATCAAAACCCCTTTTCCAAATGGACTTATAAATGACCTCCTAACCCACACCCTTCACAAACTAACCTCCTTCCGGGCCACACCCATGGAGACTCTGTACCCATCTTCCCACCTCTCCACTTCCGCCTGGTTCCTGCTTCATAATCCAACCACAAAGTGGACCAAGGAAGAGAACAAGATGTTTGAGAGCGCCCTCGCTATATATGATAAGGAAACGCCTGACAGATGGCTGAAAGTGGCGGCCATGATCCCTGGAAAGACTGTGGGAGATGTGATTAAGCAATATAGGGAGCTTGAAGAAGATGTTTGTGAAATAGAAGCTGGGAGATTCCCAATCCCAGGTTATGATCTCGCCTCTTCTTTTTCGTTTCAGTTCGTGGATGATCGAAATTTCGATGCGTATAGAAGGAAATCTTCTGTTGGTAGGGGCTCTGATCATGAAAGGAAGAAAGGGGTTCCATGGACAGAGGAAGAACACAAGTAAATTTTCATTTATGAACTCTTCTGATATCATAATTCATTGTTTGGATACAGATTTTTTATGGGTTTGTTTGTGAATTCGTTTTGTTATAGGCAATTCCTGAGGGGACTTTTGAAATATGGAAAAGGGGATTGGAGGAACATTTCAAGAAACTTTGTGAACTCAAAAACACCAACCCAAGTGGCAAGCCATGCCCAAAAGTACTTCATGAGGCAGCTATCAGGAGGGAAGGACAAGAGACGGCCAAGCATCCATGACATCACAACCGTGAATCTCACAGAAGCCACAGCATCAGAGAATGAGGAACTGTTGCCTTGTTTGGATCAGAATGAGAAGGCAGGCTGCTATCAAAAGGTGTTGTTTGATTGGAAAGGAGCCACCAACGGGGGGCTGCTCGGATTAGGACCTAACTATAGCGATTGTGTTGTGTCATTCCCATCTGGGATTGTTGCAAATGGAGTAAAGAAGGAGCAACATCATCAAGAACTGAAGGATGCATATTATGGAACTTACTCCATATTGCATCAAATTTACAGATAAGATAGATGCATAGCATATGGATGTTCGTGTTTATGTTGGGTCGATGTAAACGCCAAGTCCAATAATCAATACGTCTTTTGTGATGTTATGTTTATGAAGATTAAAAGGTTCATAGATTCTGTTGTTGATCATTAAAGACATGTATGCCATATGAAATGGAAAGCAAAAAAGACTTGGCATTTGTTCTTGGATTTCCTGCATTGCTGTTTGAAACTCAACAACTTCATGAACCATAGATTACATCTGTTATGTTACATACAAAAACAACACGACCGTGAAGAACAACACCGAAATCGCTCCCGAACACGACATTATGGAGTGAAGGATGTAAAGAAAGAGAGTGATGATGAATTTGAAGGATGTTGAGGCAGATATTTTGATATAATTGCAGCTTTAATTTGTGGCTTTGCATAGAAGATGCCATGTAAGGAAGTGATGTGGCCAAACCATGCTGAGTCATGAAGCACTTGGACAGCCTAAAAGGGGAGCAAACATCTTAAATATTTATATGTTTGTGAATGGCAATATGGGCAAGTTGACCATGTCTGATCAAATCACTTAGTTGGAGCTGAGTTTGAATCCCACTTCTTCCTTTATGCTTAATATGCTTCTGCATAAATAGTGTTCTTGCATTCACTTTTTTAACCCACCATCATCTCTCTCTCCTTAACCCGACATGGACCCATTATTACCCGAGTCAGATACCGAGCGATGAACTACGTTAGCTCTCAATAAAGTGAATGGTGAGATTTCACATTAGTTAGAGAGTAGAAGAAAACATGTATTAGCTGTGGACGGGGGCTCTTACAAAATTTTATTATTATTATTTTTTTTAATTTTGTAGTGAATATGGAAATTCAATTTTTTTTAAAATTTATATCTAATAATTTTATGGACGAATGAAAAATGAACAACAAATATTAAAATAGATTACTTATATGTACAATTTAGGATTAAAGCAACAAATTGGAAAATTTTGATACATAAAATGGAATCAATTATTAAAGTAATGGACGAAAATAGGTTTAGAATTCTATTTTTTTTTTATTATTATTATCAGAAAATGCCAATTGTGGCATAGTAGGTAGCATCAGCAAGGTTCTTCACTTTACCTATTTATTAAGCATCTTTCTTTATATTTCTTTATATTTTATTTTATTTTATTTTATTTCATACATCTTTGTTTTGTAAAGGCTAAAGGTGCGCTCTGATTTCCTCCACATTTTTATGTCTCATTGACATAAAATAAAGTATATTCTATTAAAGAGCTGTCTCTCGAAATTAAATCATTACTAAATATAAAAGCTGATATCTAGTTCGATAATGATATATTTTTATTATTTTTTTTTTGTTAAAAAAATTATTTTTGTTATTAGAGAATACTTTCAAATAAATTAATTTTATTCATAAATGTTTTTTTTCAACCATTTTAATATTTATTCTCTATATTTAGATGTTTGTAGAGAGATTTATGTGTTTAAAATTAAATTGATTAAAGGGATTAGTTAGAGACAGCAAGAGATATATTATAATTGTAATATATGCTGTTTACTGTTAATTTTCATGCTAACCATTGTGAATTTTTTATTTTTTTCCAACCACATATAAAGCATTTTTTTCCTTCCAAAGTTAAAAATAAAGAGCATCAATATTCTTATTTACTTTTGTGTGGTAAATCACATAATGAGCGTGGTAAATGACATAATGAATAAATATAATTATTTTCGTGATCAAGTTGAAATGCTACGAGAAGTTGTCAGTAAATTTATAGAGTTTGAATGTATTTATTTATTATTATTATTATATTATTAATTAATTACCGACTTAAATAGATAGAGTAATAATGGAAACTTTTTTTTTATTATTTGTATTGTGCGTTGGGGACAAAAATGAACCGGTTTGAAGTAGTTATCGAGAAATTGAATTCATGTATGATATGATGTATGTTGGTTGGATTTTAATTTTTTTTTTTTTTGAAAATGGTCGGGTGTTTAATTATGTTGCTCGTTTATCGTATCAACTCGTGTATTGAGATTGGTTTAATAAAGAAAATGAAGATAAGGTGATGAAGAGATATGTGGCATTGCATGAGGTTGAAAGATGTCATGGTTGTACCACTAAATCAAAACAAACAAAATACCAATTCTACTTTATTATCATTTATTATTTATCATCCACTTTCTACTTTCTACTTTCTTCCATTATTATTATTTTTTAAATATTGGAAATTAGTGGAGCATTGCTCTAAAATTTTTAATTTGAGTTACTTAATGAATTAGATATTAATTATAATTTAAAAAATAAATGATTTGATTATCGATTAAAATGAATTAAATTTTAATATAAACGTCAAATGGGAACATAATTGGAAAAAATAAAATCAATAATTTAATATAAAAGGATTTGTATTAAAGCATATAGAACAGCAAATGAAAAATGAGTGTATGAGCTTTAATTTATCTTTATTACATCACAAATTTTCTTTATTTCTTTGTTTTTTTTTTTTGGTTTAATGGACAAAAGATTCCTCCTTTACTAAAAGGGAAAAATTGTAAATAGGTTTTGGTATTTAATATTTCAAAATTTTACTCGACTTAGTAAATTTAAATTATAGTTTTAAAGCTCGAACATGAGAAAAAAAAATTAAAAGTTGAAAAGTTATTATAGAGATTTGAAAATTAAAAAAATAAAAGCAATAAAACAAGAAACAAAATTGAGTGAGAGGGGACCTATAAAAATAGTATATGTCTTTATGATGGGTCTTTCCCTTTCAACCAAAAGTGCGTTAATCAATCACTTCATCATCTCTCCTTATACTTTTCAACTAAAATAACACTGTCTAAAATTATATTGTCAATTTAAACCTACCTCAATTATTTATAATATATGATCCATTAGTAAGAAGTTCGAATCCTTCCATCTCTACGCGTTAACCTATAAAAAAAAAAATGAAATTTGAAAGTGAACCTACAGGAAATTGTTTCATATATTCACAAGGGGCACAAACCATACTCCAACCCCACCAACGAACTAACTAAAGAGAAAAAACACAAGGGATTCAACTCAGAAAGAGAAATAATACACTAGAACCAAAAGGCTTCTTCAAAATGGGAAAAAGGGAAAGGGAAAGTCTTTGCATAAACAGTCAAACTGCCTTCCATCATAATCATCATCATCATGGTTCCATAACAAAAAACACAGCCTTATTACAACATTAAAATCGTCTTTGTTTGTCTGTCTATCTGTCTGTCTATACGACCACAACAAAATCACATTCGAAACACATTCCTAACTGAATTCTATAAACAGGACGTGCCAAAATGGGGAGGTAGCAAGAAGAAAGGAGAGGTCGATGTTGTTGTTGTTGTTGATGTTGTTGTATGTACAGCCATGCTCTATGCAGCGATCAAGGACGATGAATCTAGCGGCACGACACTGTCTGGAAAATCGGTTCTTGGCCCTGCTAGGGAGTAGTATGCCAGTATATGTGCAGGATGCTCAACCACCACCCTACCCCCGACTTGATCAGCCACCACGACTCGTCTCGATGGAATCAATTCGATGTTCCAGAACGGGCGTGCCATTGCCAGAAGATCACGGCCTGAGGAGGACTCTCTGTAGCCTTGAACCCAGAGGTACCTGAGGGAAGTGAGTTGCATGACGGAGGCTGCCAATGCATGCTCACTAAAGCAACAGCCTCTCATCTCAAGCTTCTGCAGGCTGGGACAGCCGCGAGAGAATTCCAACAGCCCAGCATCAGACTGCCCCACATAACCAAGAAGCATCCATCTTACATTTCGGCTGTACCTCCCTATGTAACCAAGACCAACGTCCGTCAATCCACCAGGCCGAAGATACAATGCAAATCTTCTCAGTTTTTCAGAACACCCTCTCAACAGAGCTTGAACTCCATTGTCAAGTGGCAAATCTGTTATACTCGCTTCTCGATCAAGCAGGACGAGGCGAAAATCGCAGAGATTTTTCGAGTACCTGCCGATGCACTCGAGAGAATAATTTGTGATATCGGATACATAGACAGCCAAGTATTCCAGTTTCAGACAGCCTTGAGCCAAAGCAATCAATCCTCTTTGTGAAACAAGCCCTTCCTCGTCCTCCAATCCCTGCTCATCAGCCCCTCGCTCAATTCTAAGCCTTTTAAGTTTCTTACAATGCCGTGCAAGTACTTCTAACCCTCTATCTCCAATGACGTTTCTAGTCTGCTCAGGGAAACAAAATACAATATTATTACCCAATGCTAAAGATTCCAGTACACTTTCTAAAGTTGCTCACAAAGCCTTGGCTCAGGGATTTTCGCCTTGTCCTACCCTTATTGGGAATGCTATTATAATATCAAAGCAAATAGCACATATCCCCATCAGATATTCAGAATTAAACTCAGATGGCAAAGCAAGGACAGATGGGCAAATCAAAGAAAACATAGAAAATGAATGAAGTTGATCAGCAGCATACCTCAAGCACTTCTAAGTTGGGGCATCTCTGAATCAAAGTACAATGGTCCTCCGTATGAAGGAGAGCATACAAGAGGTCCAACTTCTTGAGTAGGTTTGCAAAAGGGAAGACTATTGGCATTTCATTCCTTCCCATGTATGAAAGACCCAAACTGCGGAGACTCTGTGGCAAGGCTACAGCAGCATACCTCTCTGGTTGATCATTGAAGGAACCTCCACAAAATTCCTCCAAAGAACCAACAGCTCGAAAGAACCCCACAAGATCAAGGATTTCACAATCACTAATTTTCACAGAAATTAAGGAACGGCAGTTTCTGGCTATAAGTTCAAGATCTTGAAATCTGACTTTGACAAGATCTGTCATGTAAAAATTCAACGTTTCAAGAACTGTGTTGTTGGTCGCAAGTTCGTGTAGCCATTCCCCATCTTTCTCATCTATTGAGCTCTCCTCCAGAAACAACGTTTTTAAATTCCTGAAAAGACACAACAAAAAAAACATAACAAGAAACATTAAAGATGATGAATTATAATGAGCAGTGCAGTCAGAAGTCACTTTATACATTACAACACAGGTAAAGTGATATTATCAGTTCACAGAAGTAATATATTGGCTGAAATTGAAGGATCAATCCAAATGAGGTTTATTTAAGATTACTTAGAACAGTTCCCAAAATGTTAAACCTTCTTTATGAATGTTGTAAGTTAGCAGACACTTTCGCTGTGTTTCAGCTTCTCATCTTATACGTTTAAAAGTTAAGAGCAGCAAAGCATAGAATATGTATATATATATATAATCAACGACCCAGAAAAAGTTAAAAAAGAAAAAGAAATGGAAACCCCACAACGACAAGAACAAGGGAACAAACGAAATAATGATAGTAATACTAACAAGCAAACCAAAAATAAAAGTAAAACATTAATAGAAACTATCAGGTGGTTTGAGCTTTTATTAGTCATCGCTGACCCTGAATGAACATTAATTCGTTCTCAGCATCTCATTATTTTCAATGGCCAGAAATTGAAGGTTTAACAAATCCCAGAACAGAAGGTAGAAATTATCTCAAAATTCTCCATAGTACAGTGAAATTGATACCGAGCCTGAACTACAAACAGATGAAATCTGGATTTAAAATCTTGAAGATGGTTTGGAAGCCAGATACCTGCAGGATCGTCCAATATGAAATAGTCCATCTGTGGAGAATCCAGAGCACTTGTCGAGTTTAAGCGAGTGAAGAACATGGCCACGTGCACGAGCAAGAACCTCCAGATCCGAATCGACGACAATCATACGGCGGAAGTGGAGATACTTCAAGCAATTGAAAGAATCAGCAATCTCTTTCACCCAAGGGGTCACAAACCCTCCCCAATCCTCCGGTATCAAATTAAACATCGCCGCCCTGGGTTTGCCCTTCAATTCCAAGGATTTGAGATGGACAAACCGCCGTCGTAGCCGTTCAGGCGTGGTGGTGTAGCAAAGAGCGATGGTAACGTGCTTGCGAGTAAGCGCATCCAGTTCGTGCCATCTCCGGCAAACCTGAGAGATAGCGTCACGATCTTTGGGGTCATGAATATAGGGCATTACACAGCCAAGAACCTCATCCGACATCCCCGTATTCATTCTACAAACGTTCCGTTCCTCCATAACTCGGATTTAATTCAAACAACACTCAGCAGTCCTAAAATACTCCTCAACTCCAAACTCCAAGTAGAATCAGAACATCAAGAACTCCAAGTTGTGGCTTAAAGATCCATCTCTCAAACTAAAATTCTTACAAAAGTCAGCCGGATATACAACTCATGGAACACACAATAAAATAAAATCCCCCTCCCAAGAATAGAAAAGAAGATTAAGCTACGTGTAAAACAAAAACAAAAACAAAAACAAAACTCCTGAAATCGACGGTTAAAAAGAGAAGACAGTTGAAAATCCGTTAGGGACTAAAAACAATCTAGAAAACTCCCCGGGTTGAATGAAGGAGAAGATGCCGGAAACAGGATCCGCGAAGGTGAATTGGAGGAGTCAGAGAAGCGGAGGAGAGAATCGGATCGAGAAGGAATCAGCGGACGCAGCAGTCGGAAGCCGACGGATGATGGAGGAGGCGATGTAGGGTCTGAAAAGGGAGAAGGGAGGGCGGAGATCGGCGGAGGGAAGCATTGAGGAGGAGGAGAATGGAAGAAGAAGAAAAGAAGAAGAAGAAAAGAAGAAGAGAAAAAAGAAAGGGGGGGTTTTGGGAATGGGAAAATGAGGAGAGTGGTGGAAGTAGACAAAAGAAGAAACGACAAGGATATATAATTCACCAATAGGGTTTCAGCGTTCCAAAAGCTGAGATGCGTTAGATGCTGATTACTGGCCCTTACTCTCTTACGTGGCCTATTCTCATTGCCTCCTTACTCTGCTCCTCTCCCTATCTAATTCCTGCCCCTTCCTACTTTTACTTCTCCCGTTAACTTTATAACACCACCGATATGGAAATTTTCTCCTCTTTTTTCTCTCCTTCTTTATTTATTTATTTATTTATTTATTTATTTAGCCCATAACAACTCCTATTACCCCCTTCACTCCCCACCCATGCTTCATGCTCACAATTCAGTCCACCCACCTAATTTAATTCATATTTCATTAACCATCCACAATCATAAAATTTCCATGCAAATTTTTAAGTAAAAGCCTTCAAATTAATTTTAATATTTCTACTCTCTAAATTTTTATATTTATAAAAATGTGCCAAATTTGTACGTTAGTCTTAGTTAATATACGGTTGAATGTAACTCCAGCATTAACCATAGTTAATATATGGTTAATGTAACTCGAGCATTAACCATGATCTCAAAGGCAGTAAGTTTCTTATCTTGACAAGAAAATAAGGACAAATTTTGACCCAACTTTATATACATCCAACTAAATATGAATAGACATATAGAGATATGTCTAGAATGTTAAAATAGATTAATGACTAATCTTCGTTTTATAATCGCTTTTAATCCCGCTCGTTATGCTTTTAGTAGCTAAACATCTTTGAGTTTTTTTATTTTTTTAAAAAAAAGTTATGTATTTTTCAAAACAATTTTCTTTTTCTATCTCATTTCATAGCTATTTTATATTTTAATTTTATAGTTTCTATTTACAAAAAAACCTTAAAATACGAGCTATAAAAGAATAAAACCCTACGAGATTGAGATCCACCTAGACCTCACTCAACATCAAAAGGCTTGCCAACGGCATTAGATTCTCACCGTCAGTCACTGTATTCATCCAACAATGTGGGGTTTTAGTTCAAATAAGATGAGATTTGGGTCACGAGTATAAGGAATATTATCGCACAAAACCCACATGTATTAGTACTAAACATTGTACGTGTAAGTTTAGCATAGTCAAAAGGGCCAAGGTCTACCGTGAAGCGTTGATCCCACCATAATTTGTTTCTCAAATTCATTAATCTAATATATTTGCAAAACATTTTACTAATTCGAGTGTTGGAGTGCAGATGACGTAGAATCACACCCATGGTTAACTCTCTGTTTTCTTTGCAAGGACTCGGTTTGATTCTCGTGACATATATTAAAATTTAATTAAAAAAAGAAAGTAGAATTAAATTAAGGAGTTGTTGGGAAGTTTGATTGAAGGAAGGTGTAATTATGATATTCATTTTATTGCAAAACAACTTCCATTATTATTTTATTTGACTATTATAAACCAAAGTCATAAATAGCTGCATTATTAATTGTCCTTACCCTATAATATATTTATATTAATAATATATTGCCCTTCAACTTGACTATATTATATATACATATTTTATTTTATTTTTCCTTATTGGACCTTAGAATCTCTTATTGTATGCAAAAAAATGGATTTGGACGCAAATATTATTATTATTATTGTTATTATTCCTTTCAATTATATTTTGCTACGTAATCCTCTTTTCCCCTTCCATCTCAACTTTTAAATTATATTTTTAAAATAATTTATATATTAAATTTTTGTTTAATCAAAACTTGTATTTCATATTGTATTAATAAATTTATAAATTTTTACAAATAGAATAATCCTTAAAAAAATAGAATAAAATAAATACAAAAAAAGAATATTATTGGAGAAAATAAAATAAAATATTTAGTGGCCAATGTATTGATTTTCGAATTTATTGCAATTTAATTGTTTATTTAAAAAAAATACTAAAATAACTTTCCACGTTTTATTATTAAAATAACTTTTCCGTATTTATTGAAAAAATTCGAGTCCAAAAATGTTTAAAACACACATTCATGTATTTATATAAAATACTCGAGGTTGTAATTTCTAAAACAAACAAATGTATAAATAACGATAAAATTGTGTGATTAAGTAATAAAAATTTAATAATGTCTGTGTAATTAATATTTTTCCTTTTTTGAATATATACAAATAATTTAATTTTTTTTAATTATATTTAAATAAAATAATTTTACGTCGATTTTCATTTAACATTCTATCAAATTTTAACGTGAAAATAATAAAAATGTAATTAAAAATTTTAGAAGTTTAGAAAAAATAATAAAAATTAGAAATGAATTAGATTCTTAATTAGAAAAAAAATGGAATTAGATGCTTAATTAATTAGAAGAAAGTTAACCATATCTTTGGTAAAATTTTGACCCCAAAAAACAAAGAAAAATGGGTAATGGGTGCTTTTCTTTTGAATTAAATTATATAAATATTTAGATTAGGGAATAATAATTAATCACTTTTAAACTTTTTGACAATTGGTGCACTCCACTTTCACAATTCTTCTAATTTCCCACAATTCAATAATAATAATAATAATAATAAATTTATTCTATAATTTCTGTTTGCGATCTCTACGGCCCACTAAATAAACTTTAACACGCTCTTCAAACTTTTGTACTGGTCTAAATTTACTGTTGGTAGATATTATCCGTTTTAACTTATTATTGCATGGTTGTTAACTTTACAGTTTTAAAATTTATGAACCCACCAAAAATTTTTTTTACGTAAGCTAATATATTTTCTTGAAATTGAATTAAAAGGAACCATAAAATTCTACGTCATGGGTAGCTGCACCTACATGTGCTATGCTTTATAGTCTTGTAAAAACACATAAAGTTTAATTAGAATATATGCTTACCACCAAACACATTTTAGAATATGATTTCTCCTCCATTTAGCTTTTTTTTTTTTTATTTGAGAATATTCAAATTGAGTGGAGAAGAGCATGAGCTTACTTCTACGCTGGTATCCCACATTAGCTAATAGTATATGGGTATAAACGTGAGTAACACTATTTCTATTGGTAAGAGTTTAAGTTCATTGTAAGTGGATATTGTTATTTTTGAGTTTTTCTTTTATCGTTTTTGTATTTAAAACGCGTTTGTTGGGGAGAGATTTACACGCTCTTATAAAGAATGTTTAGTTTTCCCGTCTAACCGATGTGGGATTTCGCATAAACTTTTGTTAAGAAATAACGTGGGAGAAGGGTAAATATGGAAGAAATGTGCAAAATGGTCCCCCAAAGTGTAGAATTATTAAATTGAATGTGAATGTGACAAAATAATTATTAAATTGTTGATGCTATTACCTCTCATCAATTTGTAACCCTTTTTTAGCATTATAAGCTAATTCATTAAATCATAGTCTTCACCCCCACATCGCCCACTCCATCATGGGGTAAGTTTGAGTGAAAAAATGATATTCAAAAAGGGGAAATTGAATGTAATGAATAACGGTTGAAATTGGGAAACAAAAATAAACACAATTTCACATGCCTGTGCTTCTTATCTTGGTACCATATCATATAAATTTGTATTCTTTTTATATTACATCAACTTAGGAGGACTATACACATTATTTCTAAATATTAAATATATTGTAACTTTGTTGATACTAAATATTATCGAATCTTCTGGAGGATGGACCATTGCATTATTACCCTCCTTTTTCTAAATTTAATTCTCTTATTTTATATATTTATCTAAAAGGATTTCATGATCTTTTCATTTTTATTTTTTTTTTTTAATTTTGAGTTATGAGTAAGAATAGAATCATATTTTATTCTCTAAAATCTCACTTTCTATGCTACTTTCTATGCTATTCGTATTTTTGGGGGTCGTTACTTAAAATAACGTTTAATTATCGAAAAATTAATTTTTATATTATGAAAAACTCATTTAAAAATGTAAAATTAAACACTCGTAAATGTATGTAAAATATTGTTTTTTTGGGTGGGTCATGCCTAAAAGTGGGCAATAGACCCCATCAGGTCTACTCAATACAAATACAGGTGACTCAATTCGTTACATTATTGTTCAATTAAAGAGCCCAAATTAACTTCTTTATTTATTTTGGCATTTGTTTTATTTCTAGAATAGAGGTGGTCTTCATTCCCCACTCAAAATGCAATCATAATCTTAATCTAAATAGTATGGCTCAGGAATGGTTTTCTCACCTTAATTCTCATAAGAAACCTTCTAGAATAAATATTTATCTATTCCTTGAATTCATGGTTCGGGTACGTGTAACATTCTCGACTCCACATGAATGATACAGTATGTTCCCATCTTGTTCAAAAACTACTACACAGAATTTTCATCAAAGCAATCATCAAGGGGTGACTTTGTTGAAAGGATTGGGAAGAAGTTCAAGAAGCACTTGAAAAACTCAACATTTTCACCTTCTCACAGCATTTGAAGTGTTGAATTCAAACATCATGCACTAGGATGAAAACAGCCATGTCACTGGCTGTTTTCATATGGGAAAAGACTTTCAGAAAGTATTCCTATTAGCATTAAAGAGATTAGAGAAATGTGGGATCATCCTGTTTTAGCTTCTAAAGTCTATTAATCAAGGAAACGATAAGTAATATCTTCTGGGGATCTATAAAGCACAATAAAAATTGAAAGCAGTTACTTTCCTCGAACATAAGATCCCCTGTAATACGAGGTTTGTGTAAGAAATCACTTGCTCTTCTTCGGTTCATTTGCATAATCATCGATCAGCGCTTCAACATCTTTCCAGAAGAGACCCTCAACTAAAACTCCATCCTTAGTGAACCTGCAAAGATGGTATATTTTGGGTTGGTTATACAGTAAATATTTTAGAAACTAGATTCCAGAATAGCGTTGAGAAAGAAAGAGACCACCGGGTGACACTCTTGGTAAATTCCACAGGCTTATTAGCGGAGATTGATTCGGGATCTGAACTAGATATGCTCAGTGTATACAGATCAGAGAATCT